TCACTCACTATTAATTAGTGAATTAATCCAGTAAACGTTATTTGAAGGCTGCTGAGTGTGGGTCACAGCACATACAAATTTCAGTGAGATTTGGTCTCTTGCCTTCAAGAGCCTTACCATCTAGAGTTATAAACGACCTCTGTAGAAGAGTGGGATAGATGTCATGGAAGAGGCTGGGGGAGGATGGTGGAGGGTTAGTGAGCTCAGAGGGGCAATGGCAGGAAGTGGCAGTAGTGGTGGGCTTCCTGGAGGAGGTCTAAGTCTGCGAGAACAGAAGCCAGCAAGCAAATATGGGAGCCATGCCATCTATTGCTAGAACTTCAGGAGTTTCCAGGTGTCCAGAGAAAAGGATGGGCAAGTGGGGGTAGAGGAGACCAAGCGGCAGCAGAGGGACCTAGAAAGACGGGGGGCATCCAGGCTCACTCAAACTCTGTGAGCAAAGCAGAGGAGTCTGAACTCTACTTAACTGGAAAGCTATGCAAGACCTTGGAGGGTCTTCAAGTAAGATATAATGAGATTTACATCTTAGCAAACTACCATCCAAGCAGTTTGGAAAGTAGACTGAAAGGAGGTAAAGACAGGGCAGGTTGGAAAGTGCTGGTGGAGCTAAGTGGAGACAGATGGGGAGGCTTGGACCTGGGGCCTGGCAGGAGGAACGGAAAAGGTGAGACGGCTTCCAGACAGAGCTCAGCAGAACGCTGGAAGAACTCGGAGGACTGGAAGAACTCGGAGGACGGGAACATGACGTTGCAGACATGAAATGCTGGGCTTTACTGGCAGACCTCCCAGCTGGACATCAACACAGGTTTCTTCGCTTGTCTGAGCCTCAGGTTGAGTCATAAGTAGCTATGTTAACGTGAGCTCATAGCAGCCATTCCATAGGTCATAATTCAAATATTCTTTTGCAGAAGAAAGAATACATTCCACTGACTGTCGCTTAGCAAGGTGGGAAATGCAGCAGGAGGAGCAGGTGTGGAGGAACGATTAGGAGTTCGACTTCAGACACACTGTGAAGGTAAGGGGCTGCGGGGGCAACCAGGTAAGAAAAATGGACACGAAGTTGAATATCTGGAATTTTGGAGTCTGAGGACGCCAAGGGACGAGGGAAGCTTCTTGGGTGTAAGAACGGGAAGAGGAGCAGAGAGCTCCTTTCTGGATGGTGGCCGGCAGATAGAGCAGAGAAGGTGTCGAACCAGAGAACAGGCAGAGATAAGGGGAAAGCTGTGCACATGGAGGTGAGAACCTCAAGGCAGAGGAAGTTTCAAGAAGAAGGGTGGGATCATGGGGCGCCTGGGTGGCTCAGTGGGTTAAGCCTCTGCCTTCAGCTCAGGTCATGATCTCCGGGTCCTGGGATCGAGCCCCGCATGGGGCTCTCTGCTCGGCGGGGAGCCCGCTTCCCCCTCTCTCTCTGCCTGCCTCTCTGCCTACTTGTGATCTCTGTCTGTCAAATAAATAAATAAAATCTTGAAAAGAAAAATGAAGAAGAAGAAGGGTGGGATCAATATCACAGCACGTGTGTGTTTTCAAATGCTGCAGAATGACCAAGGAGCCGAAGGGCCATAAAGCATCCGAGGGGCTTGGCAGCACAGAGGCGCGGGTTCCACAAGGCCAGTGGGTCGGACGCCACCCCCCAGCCCCAGCACAAGTCAGGGAGAGAGCAGGGCATGAGGGAAGGGCCTGGCAGCCAGGAAGGGCAGCCGAAACACAGTAGAAACACAGCAGACAGTAACAGAAAGAGGACTGGGAGGTGAAGAGGGAGCTTCTCAGGATTTGTCTGCATAAAGGAGGGAAGTCGGAGTCACTGAACATGTGGAGTTCACACAGTGGTGACTGAGGGGAAGATGTCACAGGGTAACAGCGCCCAGGACAATCAGCCCCCTGTGACAGGATGTGCAAAGTGCTCCAGAGCCCAAGAGGCACAAGCATCCACCCGGTGCACGGCGCTGGGCCGCAGGAGCTGGGGACGGTGGCTAAAGCAGCCGTGTGTGGTGAGGACACTGGGCTGGACAGGAGGCCACGTAGGCAAGCACGGGAGCAGACACCGAGGCAGAGAGGCACAAAGGAGCAAGCCTGTTTCAGGAATGGCAGCTGCTCAATGTGGGAGCCGCACAGGAAGGCTGAGGGGAAAGGAGCAGCTGGCTATGGGGCGGGCCGGGCCCAGGTGCTTGGATGTCACTGAAGTCACTGAAGGAATTTAAGTCACAGAATCCAAGGACCAGGCTTTTGCCTTAGTGAGGAGACTCTTCCTTGGAAGACCAACCGCCCTCAGAGGCCGAGGGTCTGAAGCAGGAAAACGGTGGGCAGGAGGAGAGGAGGGGTTTCCTCCCAGGGGGACCTGGCCCCACTCACTGAGACAGAGATTATGGGCTGGGGTGTGGGAAGAGTCGAGAGCCACAAGGTAGCAAGTTCAAGGCAGACACACTAGTTACAGGCTATCTGGAGGAAGGTGCTCAGCCAGTAGACAGAAATCTGGCTTCGGGGCTCAGGAGGAGTCTGGCTAAAGAGTGGTTTAGAGAACATCACCCCTAGTCATAGCAGAAGCTGTGAGAAGTCTGTTCCAGAGAGCACCCAGTATCTCTCAGGCGTGGGTACTGGCTAAGTTGGCGTGAGCCCCCAGCTCAGAGATTATAGCTGGACTCCAGATGGAACAAGGAGCAACTACGTGCCAAGGAGTAAAAGCAGGAGGCTGGACAGTTAAACCTTAAATAACGACCCAGAAAGGGGATGAGTTTCTTATTTCCCTTTTCTTCCTTTGAGTCTCAACTTTGAGACAAAGGGTGAGGGGAGAATCACACATGTGGTTGGGGGCTGCTGAAAGTGAAACTTCAGGAGAAGACCCCTAGAGTTAGCCAGAGGACCAGGACCAGGTTCCCCTGCTTGAGGAAAACTGTTTCTCTCTCTCTTTCTTCCTACTCTAGTCCATGGGCCTGCACTACTAGTCCAGTGACTGGCAGGCCCCTAAAACCCCAAGAGAAGGCTAGCTCTCTGATTGAAGGTACCAGAAAAAAGGGGACCATAGTAAGCAAAATCCCTGTTATTTCTTCTATCTCTTTTCTCTGGCTGTTTTTCCCTAAAGATGGCTCCAGTTGCATGAACTGCACAATAGCGGGGGATGCGGGGGAGGCTGAGACCTGTCTTTCTGAGGAAAGTCTGTGCTTCTGGTCATAGGAGCTGAGTCCCTAATTCTGCATATGAATTGATAAAATGGTTCAAGTCCTGGGATCACCCCTGAGTTTTCCGTGCCTGGGGAAGATGCAAAAAAGCATTCAGCATAAGCGTCAAGAACTGAACAACCATATGAACCACTACCTACGTCCCAGCATACATAGCCTGAGTGGGGTCTGTGTGGGGCAGACACGGGCAAGCGTAGCACAGTCTTCAAGAATGGACCTGATGCTGGAACTACAGCCCACAGAAGGCTAAACAGAATTTGCAGTATGAACCTAACTAGGCTGACTGCATGCCAAGGGAAAAAAATATCAACGTTCCTCAGAGTTTTAACAGGATACAGAGTCACAACATAGTACAGTAAAAACAATCCCAAATCAAGCAAAGTACAAAGCCAACAAATAAATAAATGAAAAACTCTACAACCCCTAAAGAGGCAAATCTGACCAATTATCAAGGGAAAAGACAACCAGCAAATGCTGACCCTAAGATGACCCAGACATCGGCATTATCAGACACGGAAGGCAGGCATGGCCACAGGCATTTCCATTCCCTTTACAGGATTTTCTTCCCTCTGAACCTGGTAGGGATACAACGAGGACAAGCAGAAGTACAGATTAGGATAGGTGACTGCTTCAGACTCATCATTTAAGAGGTTCACTGTCCTTTCCCAAACAGTGCAAAGAACTAAGATTCTGTAATTTAAGCCATTTCATGGCTTACTTAAATCAGGTGACTTACAGAACCAGCTGAATAAAACTAGACTTGTCATTTTCAAGTGCCTGGGTCTGCAAATGTTTTCTGTCAAGGGCCAGAGAGTATTTTTGGCTTTGCAAGCCAAAAGGCAAAATCAAACGTATTAGGTAGGTAGATTTAAGGTGAGAGACCTCTGACCCGCTTGACCCCAACTGCCGGGGCCTGGCCATCTGGGATCCAGTAGAAACATACTCGTAATAAAAAGCCATCAGATTGAAGAAGAGGGTCCTGGTGGGTCAAGCTGGCAGATGCTGGTGATGTGGTAGCCCAGGGGAGTTTTGCGTTTTGCCCCAGACACCTCCAGATTCCAATGTGTCCTTCTTTTCTCCCAAGAGCTGAGAAGTTTCAGTTTGGTCAGCCTGCTGGAGGCTAAGCAAGTACCAATTTGCTGACTGCAATCCCACAGCTTGGTGCCTGGGAATGGCCAGCAGTCACCAGTGTGTAAGCGGCTACCAGCACAAGCCCTGGGCAGCAAATCTGGGTGCAGAGGAGGAAACAGGGATGGAGGGGGCACCCCTGCTTGATCTCTAGGCCTGACGGCACTGGTCTTCTCCATCATTGCTTAGCCTTACAAAAACAGATGGGCTGGATTTGGCCCACAGGCTGTAATTTGCCAGTCCCCGTTCTCTTGCCTCTAAAAACTTCAAAGATAAGCTTGAAGGACAACCTTATGAGATGTGAACAGCACAAAATTTCTTTATCAAAATATAAGGTTTCATATTTGAATACAATGTTCCTTTTTACGCTCCCATAATTTTAAATGAGGTCCTGAAGAACACTTTCCATCAAGCCCTCCCTCCGTGTAGTTCACTATCAGTAGTCGGAAATGTGAACGCGGATTTTCTAGAACCTTCTCCGGAGTCACAAAGGTGTCGTTTCTGCAAATAGAAAGTGTTAAGACACAGGCTAGTTGAACTGCAGGACTTTTCTGAGATCTCATGACTTTTCCAACTCAGAGTTGAGAACTGGAAGCAGATGAGACAGGACTGACTTGTCAATACACATTGAAGTTAAGTCCCGAGAAGGGGAGAGCAAAGGTGCCACTTGTCATGACATCTCTGATTCGAGAAACCTACCTTGATAAATCTTCTCATCTTCATCAGTCACGTAGGCATTGGCTCCCCAGATCACCATCTTGTCGATGTATGATGGGTATTTTGCAGCCGCAATGAGAGAGGTGATGCCACCATCACTCCACCCCAGCAGAGACACCTTCTGAAACTTCAGCGTCTGCAAGGAATACAGCGAAACGCATAGCACAGCCAACTGCTCCTCTCTGCTAAAGGAATCCCGTAACTGACAATCATCAAAATCAATACAGCTGTGAGGTTTGGAGCAGCCGCTGGCAATTAAAGAAAAATGCTAGACTCTGTCATTTGATGATGCAAATGTGTTTTCCTCAATTAGTTTTGGGATAAATATAAGTATCGTAAAATCCTAAGTAACTCTGAAACTAATAATGCAGTATATATTCATTAAATTTAATTTTTAAAAAACCCCCTAAGTACAGAGTATTGTTTTGAATTAATGAGGGAACCACATCTTCTGGTTGGACAGAATCTCTGGAAACAGTGGCGATCAGCTGTCCTTGGGAATGACAAGTAACATGTGCACACACACCCACGCCTGAGCGAAGGCTTTGAGAACAGTCATGCAGATTAGAGAGGGAAACTTAATATTTACTGGGTGGAATGAAGTCATCGCATCTGATAAAAACACTGACTGCAACTGTGGGAAGAACAGGGTGGAGGAGAATGGTGTCACAGGGAGGTTATGTTCATCCTTAAATCAATCAGGCTCTGAAAACGTGTTTGACAGGGAAACTGAATTAAGATTACATCTGAGAGATGCTGCCTCGAAGTAAAAATAGAATGATTTGGAAAATGAAAGATTTAACAAATATCAGCCCAAGATGCTGAGGGGACTATACATTGCTGTAAGTAGCATGGATAATCATTTGGCTCTATCTTGTAAAAGGAACATTTGTGTCTTCTACACCCCAGCATCATCCCCTAGATATGCAAGGAACTCCTACACCCGTGCACCAGGGGACAGGTCCAGGGGTGTCCACACCACATTGTTTATAAGAGATCGAAAATGTCCACAGGTAAAACAGTGTTTCCTGCACTGCTGTTTATAATCACACAAAAAAGCAATTTAAAAATTTGAGTATTTATCTGCCATTAGAGAGGGGTGAATAAGACAGAGCACCCCCACAATGGAATACTGTGTGACAATTATAAGACTTACTTGAACCCATTATTTGTTTACATGGAAGTATCTCCTTGACAAATTGTTCAAAGAACAGTAATTTGGAAAAACATTATGGGTAAGGATGATGCTGTCAATACAAAACTGTGTACTTATAAATGTAATGAGACTGCCTGGAGGGGAACCCTCTTGCCCTGTTAGTGGGAATGCAAACTGGGGCAGCTGCTCTGGAAAACAGAATGGAGCCTCCTCAAAAAGTTAAAAATAGAGTTACCCTACAACCCAGCAATTACACTACTAGGTATTTATCTCAAGGATACAAACACAGTGATTCAAAGGGACACACGCACCCCAATGTTTATTATAGCAGCAGTGTCCACAATTGCCAAAATAAGAAAAGAGACCAGAAGTCTATCAATGGATGAATGGATAAAGAAGATGTGGTCTATACATACAATGGAATATCCCTCAGCCATCGAAAAGAATGAAATCTTTTTTATTCCACTGCCATTTGCAATAACATGGAAGAAACTAGAGGGGATTATGCTGAGCAAAATACAAATACTATATGATTTTACTCCCATGTGGAATTTAAGAAACAAAACAAATGAGTAGAGGGGAAGGGAAGGAAAAATAAAATAAGATGAAAACAGAGAGGGAGACATACCATAAGAGACTCTTAACTCTAGGAAACAAACTGAGGGTCGCTGGCGGGGAGGTAGGTGGAAGGATGGGGTGACTGGGTGATGGACATTATGGAGGGTACATGATGTGATGAGCACTGGGTGTTATATGCAACTGATGAATCCCTAAATTCTACCTCTGAAATTAATAATACACTATATGTTAACTAGATTGAAAAAAAAAAAGATTGGCTGGAAAGGCAGTCTTAAAGTCATAGCAAGAGTATCTCTCAATAGTTGGATTGTGGGATATTTCTACTTCCTAATTCATACCTATTTGAACTCCCTGAACTTTCTGCAGGAATTACACAGTATTACTCTTATAGATAGAAAAAAAACAAAATGGATGAAGACATGCCCAGCCCTCCTCCCTCCTCTGGGCTCTTCCCTAAGAGACCCACCTTCATCAAATCAACAGCATCTTTTGCATCCCTTTCAAAAAAGTCCGCTGGGAAGTCTCGATCTGGGGGTCTGGAATGTCCATATCCTCGAGGATCCCAGGCAACCACCGTGAAGAGCTTCTTATTCAGGTTCTGGATCTGGGGTCCAAAATCAGTCTCTCCGCTTCCTAAAAATAGCCACTCGGTTACCCTCAGGTGAACGATTTCATTATTTCAAGCACGTTAAGGTAAAAGCAGAAACAATTGCAATCTTAAAGTAACAAGTTTCTACTCAAAAGTTGGACAGCAGGATGCAGTCAGCAAAGAAGCCTTGTGATGATAAATAAAATCCATTTCCGGACAGGCTGACTTCCTTTCCTGGTAGAGTTCAGACTTGCCTTTTGTCTCCTCCTAGTGGCAACTTTGAGGATTCATTTGATCCTTTATTACTTTATTACTTCAGCACTTTTGATATATTCCCAGTTAATCTTCCTTAAAAAATTTTTTTTAATTAAAAAAAAAAGGAATTCATGAAACTGCATAGAAATTGACTTACTAATATGGTATGTTTCTGGGTGATTTTTTTTTAAATTGACTGTTACAAATGAGAGAGATCCCAATATTATCTGTCAATGAATTTATATGATTTGATCCAAGTTATTCAAAGTAGAATTTTAAATTCCCAGGTGTTTTTAACTAGGCTAATGTGAACAGCCCTGCATATTTTATTTTCTGGTTATAAGTAAGCACCAGAAAACTCAACTAAAACATTAAAATGAGGGAGGGCAGGGTGTGGAGGGGAGTAATCAGATTCACTTGTTTCATTCAAACAACAGCATGTTAACAAGTAGAACCCCGTTCTTGAGGCTGTGGTGGAGCTGACTGGCAGTTCCCAGCCTGCCCACGAGGTCATGGCCACTGTGTGCAAACACCTACCGTGTGTGGCGTGGAAGGTTCTAAGGAGCCCAGTCCAGGGGTGAGTCAGCATTTTGTTTTTAAAGTCTGCTTCACTGCTAAGGGCTTGTAGCTCAGGCCACACACAGATACTAAACATCTTGCTTGATAAAGTAGTTATTATTACAAAATGTCTTTTAAGATGGTACAGAATCATTTAACAATATCAAGGACCACCATTCTTTCTGGGAAGATCTACCTTTCTGAATATCTGGTAAATACCAGAAAACCTAAGGCAAAAATATAAATGGAGAGTGTGTCTGGGAGGTTCAGTTAGTTTAATGTACAACTCTGGATCTCAGCTCAGGTCTTAACCTGGTTGTGAGATCAAGTCCTGTGTTGGGCTCCACGCAAGGTATGTAGCCTACTTGGGAAAAAACAAAACAAAACAAAACTTAGATATATGTATATACAATGTTTCATATATATACATAGTATACATATGTTTTTGCATATATATATGTCTTCTACACACACACATATATGTGTATATGTTTGGAAAGGCATTTTAGCATTTAACTTTTACAAGAAAATAAATCACAAGGAAATAGTATATATTGGTATTATTTAACTAAATTAAAACAATACCAAAACCCTTAAAACCAAATTTGAGTATCCTGGAATCACTGGACATTATCTCCCTGAGCTGGATACATGTAAATTACTTATCTGGAAGATAAAATTGGGATCCAGTTGGCTTTACTATGCTCCATTCATGCCAATCTAATTTTGATTTCCAAAAAGATTTAAATTAAGTCTTGCTTTTAGCTCTTATTTTAATTGAGCATATAATCAACTCCAACAAGGGGATTAATCCACCTTCTAGCTCTGGCAGTCTTGCATCCTGGAATCCCTCAATCCCAGGCTCACTGGGATGGTTGGTCAGTAGCTCGTCTAGTTAGTCAATCCCTGCTGCCCATACCCCTCTCCTTAACCCCTGTCATCCTCCCAAATTATAGGTAACTACAGGGTGTAACTGCATGAAAAAAAAAAAAAACAAAACCAAACCTTGGGTATTTAAGGGAATAAAGAATACATATAGTAGAAAGTTATCTTTCTTTTCTATCACTTAAATTTGTAGCAAATATTAAAGCATTTAACAAAGCACTAAAATCAATAATCAATATTTGGCATCTAATAACGTGAATGCATCATAGACTACACAGCACACAAATTCCATTAAAAAACTTCCAGACCCAGCATTCCAGGAAGCAGGAGGACTGCATGTTCTCCCTCTCCCGTCTGCTGATAATGCAAATGGACACCATTCACAGCCACTTTGGCAGAGGTTACTGAGGTGCTGCAAGAGAAAAATCCCAACCCCAAAGAAAGATTACTTAGCAGTATAAATGTAATATGAACAAACCGCCCTTTTCTGTACCCGAGTCAACTCTAGTACCCTTCTCAGGCTTCTTGGATTCCTTTGATTTGTGCTTAAGTTTCCCAAACCTAACAGGGCTAGACTGCAGGTCTGAACTATGCCTTCATGTTTGAATGCCCTACACCGCCAGCCCGGGGCTTACCCTATGACAGTACTGAGAGTTTGCTGAAATCAACGGCCATACACCCTCAAGGGCACACACCTGGTAAGCTGGAAGCCAGCGGTGCCAAGGGTGCAGGCAGATGCACGAGCTTCACTCAATGACATGCGAGGTTAAACAACCAGGGCACAGAGCCTGGAGTCACTGGTCAGGACCTTTGCAGATCTAGAGGGGTGGCCTGGGACTTCTGCTGCACAGCAGTGTTCCTCGGGGCAAGTCTGATCTCAGGAGTCCACAGAGAAGGCCTTGGTCCCTAGGAGTCCTTTAGACATGTGGCTTCTCGTGTTCTCTGGCCAGCCGCCGCAGGGCTCTTGGCGGGAACGCCTGTCTGCACTGCTACGGCCGGCCTGGTTTTTAACATGTTGCAATACGTGTGTTGATGATTAAACATGCGAGTCCATAACCTTCCGTGTCAAGAGCGCTCCCTGGGTCGCTGACCCTCCTTAGCCCAACACCTCCCATGACATAGTATCTAACTGGACATGCTGGCATAGGACTGCGCCCAGGTCTGTTTGGACTGATGCGTGTACCGACCACATCAAGGGTACTGCTCTGATGAACCTCTCCTCCATGGCTCTTCCAGAACCTCCAGAATGAACATGCAGGGATACATAGCAATAAGCACACACAAGACTCCTGCATCAGGCTCTAAGAGCCTCCCCACCGATTTCCCAGGTGGCTGGGTGACGTGTGGAAAGGACATTTTGGCATGCCAGGACAGATGCTGGAAGGAGGTGCTCCTCTTCTCCTGGCAGAATGTTAAGGAATTTAAATTAACCACTGCCCCCCTTTTCTTTACGTATTTTCTACCCCTATTACCTGTCTGCAATTAGTCAAAATGCTTACAGGAATGAAGCATTTTTTTTTAAAAATGAGGTCCTCGGTGCCTGGGTGGCTCAGTGAGTTAAGCATCTGCCTTTGGCTCAGGTCATGACCCCAGGGTCCTGGGATTGAGCCCTGCATTGGGCTCCCTGCTCAGCAGGAAGTCTGCTTCTCCCTTTGCCCCTCCCCCCATTCATGCTCTCTCTCTCTCTCAAATAAATAAAAACTTCTTTTAAAAAATGAGGTTCTCTTTCCTCTTTTGGTTTCCTCCCATCACCAATTTCAAATGAGAATGCAGAAACAAATGTGTTGTATGCGGGTACATTAAGTCTTAACACAATTTCTGCAAAAGTAACAGAATTGGGTGGTAATACAGCCTGACATTAACTATAAGCTCCTTATCTACAGAAAAATCACGAGGAGCAATAATAAAGCCACTGAGCAACAGTGCTATCATACTGATACTGCCAAGCTCTTCGGAGTCCTTGATTTTTACTGTTAAGGTGGCTCTAGGATCCAGATAAAGGCAAATAATTCTCTGGGAATAAAGATTCATCTCTGCAAACATTAACTGACATATTCATTTTTGCCCACAGTCTAGCGGGAGAAAAGATAAAGAGACAAGAGATTCCCTCTGCAAACCATCAGGGAGAGAAGGTGATGACCGAGGCCAGGAGCACAACGAGCACGGCTAGAACTAGTTAGTAGGATTTCCCATATTCACCACCCAGGAATGAGGCAGCAACTAGCTAGAGATGACCTGTATTCGCACGGCTCATGTTAGCAATGACGTGTGCCTTTGTTGTACCTCGTGTCCTAAGATTTTTGAGGGGCTCCCCTTCCTTGCCGCATTAAAGGACATACATGTAGGAATCATGTGCAGGGAAGATGGCACATACAATGAGAGGAACCCCATTCCCCATGGCATCTTTCTCAACATCCAAGACAGTGGGATTTTGTGGCTGGACACTGCTGACTCTCCCTGTCTGCAAGTGTTCGGGGCCCGGCAAGGGCACTGCCATAATCCTTTCCTTCACCTTTCGTGATCATTCCAAAGTCTCTAATGCAAAAACACCTCTAACCTCCCTTTGCGTTTTGCTGTATTTGTGTTTTGGTTCCCCATTCCAAACTTTTCCCCCCAATTATCCCCATCCCATCTTTTGGTTGCCCAAGATGAAGGCAAAAACAAAACCATGTAGTCTAGAATTTGGCTTAATAGGAACTCAATGTCAGGGAGGGTTACTAAGGCAGAAGACTTTGAAGATAGTTTTAGAAGAGAGACAGAGACCATATGGGGTTGAGCAGAGATAATTGGAGAAGAGTGAAAGAAGTAGCCTTTGAGTTGAACTTCCAAAAGGAGTAAAATTTTGAAAAAAAGAATATGGTGTGGAGAGTGCTTCTAGAAGAAGAAATAGCATGATCGAAGGCCCAGAGCAAGGGACATATTTATGTGGGGACAAGGCAGTGTTCAGCCTGGCAGGAGAGTGGAGTCAGGGAGCAAGGTTTGGGCTGAATGCTGAAGAGGTCCGCAGCTAGGCTAAGGGAAAAGAACATGTCCCTAGTGCCTTGTCATCAACATCCTATGTGTCCCCATACCAGAGGTACCTGCCCCACTGTCACATCAGCCCACGCCATGGGGTTAATGGAGGCTGCCAACAACCTTTCATCGATCTCCAGGTTAGGGAAACAGGATAGGGAAGTGTTTATGAACAAAAGTAAAAGCAAATCAATTTAAATGCAAGTAAAAAATTTTATTTAAAAAAAAGTTGCTGAATTTAAAAAATAGAGTTATCAAATCATTTACTGAATGATTTATTTATCATCGATAGAACACTGAAATGAGGAAAGCATTCTTCTCTCCAGCTTAGCAAGGGGCTCTTAGACAGTACTTCAGGCCTCATTTTATGTGTCTGTTGATAGAAAATCTGGCTACAGAGAGACCAGGCCTTCAATGGCCCTGAAATGTGCATTATTACTTGACCCACAGTCAAGAGACCAAATTTCCCAAACTGTCACACAGGAAAGAGGATACAAAACTTCAGAAAATTTAAAGACCAAAAATGAATATTTCCTTCGGGGTGTCCATCCATCTTTACCACCACTTTCTCCCTGCTAATAATTAGTTCACTAAAACTGTAAGCATAAAAATGGAGTTTTAGGGGTACCTGGGTGGCTCAGTGGGTTAAAGCCCCTGCCTTTGGCTCAGGTCATGATCCCAGTGTCTTGGGATCGAGCCCCCGAAGCCTGGGGTGGGGGTGTCTCTGCTCAGCAGGGAGCCTGCTTCCTCTTCTCTCTCTCTCTCTGCCTACTTGTGATCTCTGTCAAATAAATAAAATCTTTAAAAAAATAAAAATAAAAACAGCCTGTAGGAGGGCATACTCACCTAGAATCACCTTATCTCCTATTTGTCTCTGACTCTCTTTCTCTGGGAAGCTGGATAAGCAATTATGTGAATGGACAGAGGTCACAAGCAATACAGTGATAATAACTCCCTGACCGAGGGGGCCTTAACTCCCTTCCAAGAAGGAAAGTTTCCTTTAAGAATCTAACAACTTGGGGAAAACAAACTAACAATTAGTTTCATTGCTTAAGGTCAGTAACCAACTCTATTAAGAGCTTACTTATCTCATTTGTTTTGCTGTGTGATGTACATTACACTTACCCTAATTTTATCGTTGAGAAACCTGAGGATTAGAGTGTTTCAACAACTGGCCCCCGTCACATTACTGGTAATTTATACCTGAGTGTCTGACATCAGCACCTTTGGCATTTTGCCTTTGCTTAGAAATAAAAATGGAGGGGTGCCTGGGTGGCTCAGTGGGTGAAAGCCTCTGCCTTCAGCTCAGGTCATGATCCCAGGGTCCTGGGATCAAGACCCGCATTGGGCTCTCTGCTCAGCAGGGAGCCTGCTTCCCTTCCTCTCTCTGCCTGCTTCTCAGCCTACTCGTGATCTGTCAAATGAATAAATAAAATCTTAAAAAAAAAAAAGAAATAAAAATGGAGCCAATTAATACGACACATCCTCACTCTGAAAGTCCTACATATTCTCCGTTTATCTTATGTTCAGCTAATTATTTTGTATACTTATTCCAAAGTAACCATCAGCTACAACAAAGTAGCAGCTACCCCTAGGGCTTAGAATTAAATGAATTTTGATGACTTACTTTGGATCTTTTACACACTGCATTACTACTAAGATAGTCAAATCTGTATCAGTGCTAACTGTAGCTACCAATTAGTGAATTCTTATTATATTCCAGGCCCTTTACATTTATTGTCTCTAATGCTCAGAACAAAACTGCAAGGCACTAGGCTTAGAGAAGTTAAGTAACTTGCTCATAGTTGCGCAGCTAGAAGTGGCAACGCAGCTAGGTAAAAGACCAGATTCCATGCTCTGTTACCTCATGGGTGAACAAAGTCTCCCAAAGGGGCCCCACCCACCCTGATTGCCAGCAGAAAGAAGGTAGTGGCAGGTGCCAGGGAAAGGAGGGTCTCTGGTTCTCAGGCAGAGCATCCCAAGGTTGAGCTCAGAAGACATTTTTCTTCTGGCAGGTTGTTAGGTTCTGCAAATCATCAATACTAGAACTGTACTCAATATACAACTGCAGGTAGGAAAGGCTTTTTCTTTAAAATGTTATTATTATTATTATTTGTTTTATTATTTTTTTTAACCTGGTCCCGGAACAAATCAGTTTACAGACTACAAACTAAAAAAGAGTCAAAGTTACAGATAATAAAAAAGAGTCAAAGTTCCAAACCACAGACAAAATAAGCTTCCGGAACACAACTCAAGTGTAGGATGGGTACTGGCTGCTCAGAAGCAAAGGTCTTAAAGGGGTGTTTTCACCTCCTTGTACTAGGCTGCAGCTTCATTTCAGGACAACCAATACCGCTGCTGGTTTCCTCTGATTACATGTAATATCAAGTTGCAACTGCATTTACAAAATGGCAGTTCAAAATCCAGAGAAACCTGTTTTTCAGAGTTATGGGAAGAATGATTTGCACTCAATCAATGGGGCCTTCCTGCAACCATTAACTAACCTATCTTAACTTGAGTATTGGTATATAGTAACCTTATTTCAATCTCTTTCTCCAAATAGGAAACTGAATAAATTGCCACTTTTCAATGTTGATTTACACAGCTGTGAACACTGGCCTATTTTTCCCACCTGTATTAAGACAGTCCTGAAAGTCTAAAAGTTCTAAAATAATAAAAAAGAACTTAAATCAAATATGAAACTCAGGGACTAGTTGATCACAACATAAAAATTTAAAACTGGTCAGATTTTTCCCTTCTCCTTCCAAATTAAAATTTCAAATGAGACGCTTCCACATTGGATCAACCGAAGTTCTAAATGCCAGGTACCCATTTGGGATCTGACTTTTCCTAGTTATAAACGGAACTGACCAATTAGTGAATTGCATACATGCCCAGTTAACTGCATACATGCCCCGTGTACCCATGTGTGTAGAGTGAGGAGTAGGTGCGTAGGGAATAAAGTAGAGTAAGCCTCACGCTGTTCTAGCCACATTTTCTGCTTAGTATCTCCTGGGACCAAGGGCAGCCATTTTTAAGACAGTAAGCCAGAGATTAATCTAGTTGTTTTGTTTTATCTCGAAGCGTACGTGAGGATGGGGGCAGGGAGTCAGAAAAGAAAAAAAGGCAGATTCTTGGCCTTTCCTGCCACATCAGAACCTCAGAGTCAGGCCAAGGATTCTGAATTTTCCCAGGCGCTCAAGGGGATTCTTTTGCACCTTAAAGTTCAAAATCAGCAAAAGAAAGGGAAAAAAAAAAAAAAAAAAAGACGACGCGAGGACTTCGGACCCGGGACCCGGGACTATTAGAGCTAATAGGTCACAGACATTCTCAGGCTGGTTTTTTATATAAGAAGCATGAGAGATCAGAGCCATGAAGGTGTGAACAGACTGGACAGAGCACCGAATAAGAATGAAGCGTCTGGAATTCTAATCTCTGGCGTGAGAGTGTCTGCGGCTAAAAGCAAATTACGATACCTCCCTGGGTTTCTTTGGTCTGCACAATGAAGGGCTTGAACTCCATCACCCAAGTCCTTTAAGGCTTCCGAGTCACAGAACTGAAGCCGATGCATGGCTGAAGGGCTCAGTCCCGGAGGTGCAGAGGTGGAGGTTAGCTCCACCGCCTCCCGCGTACCCACCTCGGGCAGGCTCCCCATCGCCGGGTAAAAGCAAGAGGGCGGAGACGCGGCGCTCCAGGCCGCTACCTGCACCGCCCAGCCTGCCCCCAGGCTAGCGCGCTCCTCTCTCCCCGCCCCTCAGAACTTGGACCAGACCCCGCGGGCTCCCGGAGGGAAGCGGGTACCATTACCCGAATGCGGCTGCAGGCCCGGCACGCGAGACCTGGTTCCCGGGCTTCAGAGCCGAGAGGAGAATCCGCAGCCTCCGCAAAACCCGGCTGTTTAGCGTCGCAGCCATGCTCACAGGTGGCGCCAGGCGCGCAGGACGCCAGCGCCAGGATCCACCCGCCGCCCTGGGAAGGCTCGGCTGCCCCGCGGGGGAGCAAGCCTGCGCCCCTCCCCACCTGCTGCCTGAGCCCCAGCCCCACTCGCGTAGTCGCTAGAAAACACGCATGCGCCGAAGACCGCTCCGTCCGGCTGCCCGGGAACACGCATGCGCAGGGACTTCTGCCTGGAGATGGCGTTCATTGGTGACATTTCGCCAGCCTAACTTTTGTCACTCCGGGGTGCCCGGCCGCGTAGTCCACTGGGTTGTTCCTGACCCTTGACAGAAACTGGACTCTGGGTCCCACGGATACTGCAACGCAGATGTCTTCCCTCGGGGTGCCAGCTCTGGCTCACGAGGAGCGCGTCCCAGTCGACTCTACCTTACTCGTTGCCACGGTGACCCGCCCCTTCAAGGAGGCGAGCCCGCGTCCACCCATTCCGCCCATCTCTCAGGGAGCGGGTGCCCAGGCACGGCGGGGCTCGGGAGGGGTGGTGGAGAAAGGGGGATGCTCAGGCTGGCTGCTATCGGTGGGGTGAAATGCAATTGTTTCTAAGAATGTTGGGATTAAAATTTTCCTTCATAAAATTTTTCATCTCACACCCATTGGTATAGCTATTACCAAAAAAAAAAAAAAAAAAAGGAAGAAAATCCAGAAAATAAGTATTGGCGATGATGTGGAGAAATTGGAACACTGTGCACCATGTAAAATGGTGCGGTGGCAATGGAAAACAGTATGGTGGGTCCTCAAAAAATTACACCGAGAACTGCCATAAGATCCAGGAATTCCACTTCTGGTTACATACCCTCAAGAATTGAAAACAGTGTCTCAAAGATATTTATACACCCATGGTCATAGCGTTATTCACAACAGCGAAAAGGTGGAAAGCAACCCAAATGTCAATGGAGGGATAAAGGTATAAATGTGTATATATATAATGGAATACTGTTCTTTAAAATGGATGGAAATTCTGACATACGCCATAATATGGATGAACATTGAGACATGATGCTAAGTGAATACGCCAGTCATAAAAGGACAAATACTGTATGATTTCATGTGTATGAGGTAACTGGAATAGGCAAATTCAAAGAGACAAAGTAGAAAGGTGGCTTGCCAAGGGCTGGTGGGGAGGGGAGAATGGGGAGTTAGTGTCTAATGGGTGCAGAGTTTCAGTTTTGTAAGATGAGAGGCGTTCTGGAAATGGAAATGGTGGTAGTAGCAAGATGATGTGAGTGTAGTTAATGCCACTCAACTATCTACTTAAGATGGTAAATTTTATTGGTATTTTATCACAACTGAAGTATTTTTCTTCTTCAGATCATATAATTCAAGCTTTCTAAAGGTTATAAAACATTGCCTGCATTCACAATTCAGTGGAGAAAAAACTGGAAATAACTGGCAGATTCACCATCACTGTTTATCCTTGGCTCCAATTATTCAGGATAGAAATAGCTTCCTTGCATATTGCATTCTTTATCCTCCACTGTTAGACCCCGCTGTTGTAATAGCAGTATCCTCACTGGCCATTTGAGTTTCTTGAGCAATAAAGGCAAGGCTGGCCTACAAATGGATTATGCAAAAATATTCTCTCAACATTAATGTGTCACATCAATTTCCCGCATAGAAGGAAAGAGAAATAATTTCAGCTGACTACTATCATCTGACTTTCAGAAACCTTTGGTGGGTCAACAATTCCTTATTTTTTCCTGAGATGTTGATTTGGGATTTCTGGTCAGAGATCATGCGAGTAAAAACAATTGTACAATTTTAACATGCTATCCTACCGAGAAGCAAAAATGGTAGCACTGTGAGGCTTTAGGTTATTGGTGTCACAGTTGATTTTTAAGTGCATACTTGAGAACTAGTCCTTTATGCATAACACTATTGTACAGTTTTTCTTTTTAAGATTTTATTTATTTATGTGACAGACAGAGATCACAAGTAGGCAGAGAGACAGGCAGAGAGAGAGGAGGAAGCAGGCTCCCTGCTGAGCAGAGAGCCAGATGCGGGGCTCAATCCCAGAACCCCGGGATCATGACCTGAGCCGAAGGCAGAGGCTTTAACCCGCTGAGTCACCCAGGCACCCCACTATCATACAGTTTTAAAAATAACTTTGGGGGCGCCTCAGGATCATGACCTGAGCCGAAGGCAGAGGCTTAACCCACTGAGCCACCCAGGCGCCCCTCACTTCTTACTCTTAAAACACTAAAACCTAATGGGTTAAAATAAACTTGAAATTTAAACCATGATGTTGTATTAAATTCAGTTTTGGCAGTTAGTAGATTTTTTTTTTTATCCAACAAGAACAGATGTGACTAAAATAATTGATCTTGTTGACATGGTTACGCTTGTATGGCGAGAAACCAGTATTAACAATATCATCTACCATTGCACATTCCTGGCAAGGAAGTTTTTACATAAAGTCAGGTTGAGCTTGTCTTCCATTGTAGGGTCACAGCCTGCTGCTGACACAGCCCATTTTTATCTGCAACTGGCTAAGTCATTTATCTTAGTAAACACCTACTTTTATTTATATTATTGTAAGAGAAAAACCTTTATAAATAAGACACATTAAAATGCACATCAAAATACGATTTAAAACATTTCCTGGGGACTCCTGGGTGGCTCAGTCCAAGCATCTGCCTTCGGCTCAGGTTATGATCCCAGGGTCCTGGAATGGAGCCCCACATTGGGCTCCCTGTTTGATGGGAAGCCTGCTTCTCCCTCTCCCACTCCCCGTTTGTGTTCCTGCTCTTGCTAGTTCTCTTTCTGTCAAATAAATTAAAAATATATTTTTTAAAAAATATTTAAAATTTAAAAAAAATTAAAATTTAAAATTATAAAAATATTTAAATTTTAAAAAAATAAAAAGTAAAACATTTTCTGAGAAAGAAAGAACTATTCTGAAAGATCTAACGTCATATGATGGACCCCAAACACATATTGTAAGCATAGCCAAGTGGAAAATCCACTGACTGCACAAGACTGTAAGAGTTGGGAGGGAGCGTTATTTACCAGTAGAAACCTTAGGGTGTGAGTATCTTTTCTGAAGCCAGGTATGGATAGTTTTCTTTCTCATTTTGTAGTCCGTGTCATCTCACTTAATTAATTTTCTGCCCAACTGATTTCTTGTATTGAAACTCTTCAGATACAAAGTTGGCTCTTTTCAGCCCAGTTTTAAGAAAGTGGGGGCTAAAGGAAAGATTTCCGAACCGTGTTTGAAGGACAGTGGGGCTGCAGGCTCTCAAGGCAATGTGATTTCATCCTGAGAGCCAAAAAGCTGTCCAGAAACTTCTCTTTTTACTATCAGCTTCCTCTTGCCTGCTAACAGAGGAGGGTGAAACAGAGAATACATATAGGAAATGCCAACCTAAGTGAAGAAGCCCAAACGGTTTCATTTATACAAACACATCATTTCAGTATTTGAGGTACAAAATTTTATTTTTAAAAGTCCATTAAAAATACCTTTTTTGCCTCTAAACTTGATCTTCCAATTGCTTTAGAATTTAGAGAATTTAGACACTTAGGACAGAGGTACAAGGGATACATTTAGAAAAGCAATCATCCACCCACTCCTCTCTAGCAAAGCCTGGGAATCTCTCCATCCAATTTTTGTTTTGGTCTACATGATCTAATGCTATGTGGCAACGAAGTAGTGAGCCTGGATATGTATGGATAAGAGACTGAGCTTCATTACTTTGTAGCAGTGCTCTTCTCAGCTGCGGCAATTGGGCCCTTCCAAGGAGCATTCACAATGTCTCAAGACATTTTGGCTTGTCCCAGCCCACGACAGGAGGAGGGAAGAATGGCACTGTTGGCTTCTAGTGGGTAGAGGACACTTTCAGACATCCGGATCCTACAGTGCTCAGGACAGCCCCCACAACAAAGAATTATCTGGCACAAGATGCCAATAGTGCAAAGTTAAGAAATTCTGTTTTATAGTCCCACTTCAAGTGGAGGGGTGTGTGTGTGTGTGTGTGTGTGTGTGTGTGTGTGTATGTATGTGTTTGTCAGCTGGGGCTAGAGGGATTTTAGAATCGGAACCATAAAACTGTTATCAGCCCACCAGATTGTAGAATCTGTTCGGACATCATGAGTCACCATACTGCATGCATCACTCCCTCCTTCCAGAAAGGGATGAGCACAATGACACACCCTCTCTGTTTAGCCACGTGCAGGCAATGATACCGAATGGTTTGCTTGCCTTCAGTCTTCTAGTCTTCTGGTCTGAGTTTTGAGTGGGCTTTGAAAGGTTGAGTGTTAGAGGCGCAGTTATTAGGCTTTGAAGCGTCCTTTTTTTTTTCTTTTTTTTTAACATCACAGGTGCTCACAGAAAAAATGAAAATATTTCTACAGCATCCTGGGGTAATCTGAGGAAGCCGCTCGACAGTGATCAGCCCTGAGGCTCCAGTCACAACCAGGTATGAAGAGATCAATACATACATGCTAGGAAAGTATTAGAATGCTAGGAAAGAACTTAAACACTTCATTAAGAATTGATGTAGTCACCACAATTAGTAGCAATTCCTTGCAACAGCCACTGGAAAATCCTGATATTTTTGTTCTCTATTATTTTTTTTTCTGTTTTAGTACTGAAAATCCCTTCAGTTAATTTATGGAGTGGAGACTACATGTAATTCTTGAAGCCTGTACTACCTGACACAACATTTGATACTGAAGTTAACAGATCTTGTAGTTTTGGAATGAACTGTGGCTAGAATACAAAACAACAACAACAACAACAACAACAAAACCTAGTTGAAGAGAACTCACAATCTCACCGTACTTTGGTTATAACAGGAGTCTTTATGGAAAAGAGAGCATAAAATAAGAAGGTTGACTTTGTTTGTGTCCCCTGAATTTTTTTTTTTTCTTGCTGGAACAAAACTCCAGGAAAGTAAATGAATGATGTTGTTGAAGGTTATGGAATGAACTGAAAGAAAATTATCTTTCTCAAACATCTCTCTCTCTCTTTCAAAACCCAATTAGGCTACTTTCTGGATTGGGCCTTGGCCGTTAATAGGTCTTCCCGGTTAGTAAGCTGTTTGCTGTAGATTTCTTTCCCATTCTCCAGCTATGGAATGCAGGAGATTTTCATGCAGAGAACCTATATCAGTGAGGAAAGAATTCTGCAGGATCGGAGGCAGCACACTTTCAGTGGGTTACTTACTGGCGAGGAGATGACCTTATGCTGCCATGGCCCTTCCAGGAGTTAGCTCTCGCTGATACGTACCAAATAGTTCAGGAGGTCTGTTCTTGAACACTGGTAGAGCGCATAGGCCAGCTTTCCCACTGTGGCCCCCTTATTGCCTTCCCTCATCTGCCACTTTTGGAGCATCTGGTAAACCTTTTCTTTTAGTCCATCTCGCTCATAGTCATGGTCAATTTCATCAATCTGAGGTTCAGTGAAGCCCAGCTTACGGGCACAGTTTTTCCATTGCTTTCCCAGATTTTCCCTGACTGGATCCAGATGTTTGTCAGTCAGACTAGTGATATTTTCTGCCAAACAGAAAAGAGAAGAAGGTATCAGGCTATAATCCATTTGAACATTCTAGTTTCAAAAACCCGTATAAAGAGTATCGGGAGACAGTAAAAAAGATAACTTCTTAATTATGAGTTGTTGACCCATGAGGTGATACTTTATGTTTCTGGAAGCCCATTTGGAATGTTTATGTGAAGACAATAGAGAACCTCTTCCTCCTAGCAGATTCCTCTCTGAGCCACAGCTGATGGCTTTGGGAATGAAAGCCCAGCTTGGCTATGAAGTTGTTCTATACAACCTTATCCAGTGACCCCGTTAATATCAGACCTTCCTGATGTGAAGAGGAAAAAACGCCATTTTTGTTCCTTTTCGCATTGTCTACTTATATCTGGCCAGAATCAAGGTCATCCAACTCCCGATCCCCTGCACCCAACAATTCATTTTCCTCTTAGGGAAGTCAAGACCATCAAGGGTGAACTCATTCAATTACAGTGCCTTCCCTTGTCTTTTAAGGAATGAGGTATCTACTTTTCAAGATCTGTTTTGGGACTCCTCTCTCCTCTACCCTAAGTGCTATCTTCTCTTCTCCTACAGCCATACCCTCACTTTCTACTGGTCCCTTCTCCTTAGGCCTTCATAAAAATAACAAAAAGAAACTAAAGTATAAAACCACCATCACACACATTTTCCTCGATCCTCATCCCACCCCAATAAGCCAAATATAAGGAAAAAAGACATTTCATTCCTGCTCTCCTCCCCCACCACCAACTCCCATTCTTTTCCTAGCATCCCACAATGCAGCTTCTGTTACCACCACTGGATGGCAGTAGTCCAAAAACCTCCCAAGATATTTGCCAAGTTTTGTCAATACGTCTCCGGGAGAGGGACCCTGGTTTCATCAGATTCTCACAGGAACCTGTGTCACCCGAAAAATTAGGAACCTCCTCTCTAAGGTGGCCTAGTCTTCAATTGGATTAGGCTGGGGATTGGTAAACGATGGCCTGTGGGCCAAATCTGGCCTGCTGCCTGTTTTGTAAAAAAAGTTATATTAGTACACAGCCATGTACATATGCACATATCGTCTGTGACTGCTATTCACTATAATGTCAGCTGAGTAGTTGCAACAGAGACCTCAGAGCCAGAGAAACCTAAAATATTTACTATCCAGTTAATAAGATAGAAACATTTTGTCAATCCTGGGGTTAATCAGAAGGCCGGGTTCTTAAATCCTGTTGTTTTGGCCTCATGCCTGTGTTCTTCCCACTCCCCCACCCCCACCGTTGTGTTTTGGGATTAATGTTATGAGTGGAACCCTATAAGACTTACATATGAGTTATATAGTTCCATAAGTTACATGTAAGTTACATAGTGGAACCCTCTAAGAGAAAGCTCTCTTGTTTTTATTACAGGGGTGCTGTTGAGGGCATAGTCTTCTATCTTGTCAGAATCCCTTTTGATGAGATCGGAGGGAGCTGCCTCTCCCAGGTCTAAGTAGTGATATTGATCCTGATGATGATGGTGATGATGATGGTGATGGGTTCAACACTTTCATAGACCTTACTACGTGCCAGGCAGTGTTCTAAGCTCCTTATACATATTGACTCATTTAATTTTCATAACAAATCAGTTAATTAGATATTGTAATTACCCCCTATAATAAACATAAATAAATCACAAAGGAATTATATGGAAATTACAGAGACATGTTATAGAGAAAACATGGGGCAACTTTCAGGGAGAATAATCAGAGAAACTTCAGGATTCCACAACATCCCTCTAAACAAGTAAGAAAGTTCAAGGCTGCTAGACGACAGGTCCTTAAAGGAAATCTTACCAAAGATATCGTGGTACTTAGCAGCTGGCTCTTCTTTCAAGTTCATGTCCAGTGGCACTGAACTCATTCCACTAATCTCCATGTAATTATGGTCTCCAATCTGAATGCCAGCACTGTTGTGTATGGAACATTTCACAGACTCATCTGAATGGAGTGAAACACACAGGTAAGTATAGCTAGATCGAAAGCAAGAGAAATAAATACAACATGGTATAAGGGCAGAGCTTTCTTTACTCCAGAGGTATATTAAATTCTTTATTCTATGCCAACCTTTGAAACTTTCTTCTTTAAAATGTAGCTGAACCAATCTCACATCCATCAGGACAACTACTATAAAAACAAAACAAAACAAACAAACAAAAAAAGAAAGTAACAAGCATGTGGATGAACTGGTATCCCTGTGTGCTGCTGTTGGGAATACAAAATGGTGTGGTAAACAGTATGGAGGTTCCTCAAAAATTAAAAATAGAATTAGCTTAAGATCCAGCAATTCCACTTCTGGGTATCTACCCCAAAGGAACTAAATGCAGGGCCTCAAACAGATATTTATACACCCATATCTATAGCAGCAAGAGCCAAAAAGTGGAAGTCACCAGTGTCTATCAACAGAGGAACAGAGGAACAGATAAACAAAATGTGTTATATACTGACAATGGAATATTATTCAGCCTTCAAAAGGAAGGAAATTCTGACGCATGCTACAACATGGATGAACCTTTAGGACACTGTGCTCAGTGAAATAAGCCAGTCACAAGAGGACAAAGACTGTATGATTCCACTTATATGAAGTACTCCAGAGTAGTCAAATTCATAAAGATGCAAAGTGGAATGGTGGCTACCAGGGCTAGAGGGAGGGGAATGGAGAATTAGTGTCTGTTGAGTACAGAGTCTCGGTTTGGGAAGATGAAAAGAGCTCTGGAAATAAATGGTGGGGACGGTAGCCCAACATTTTGCTTTCATCACACATGGCAGTCTTTGAGTTTTATAAGATAAGAATTAAAATATCCAAGACTTCTTTCTTAACCTTCAGAAAACAGCAAGCAAGTAAAAGAACTCAAGCAGTGACCTTCACTTCCATCAGAGATTGGGTATAATGGGACCACTGTGATGCAGATTATAGAAGAAGATACCTACTGGTTACAAGGACCTGTAACCCAACACTTGTGGGCAGCTGCAATGAATCCCACCCAAACTGAGGCCAAGTGATCTGATGGAGACTATCCACAGTTGCATACTGCATCTGGTAGCTGAAGGCCACAAGCAACTCACCCTTGTCAACTTACAGTCTACAAGAGAGCTAATGGCTGCTTTATTTTCAGAAATATTAAAAAAAAAAAATGGTGCAGCTAAAAAACTGTTTACCTCTTGATGGGAAGGTGCCGAATGAAAGGGTGGGTGTGTTTCCCAGTAGGTTGGTCTCAGGCACTGGAGTTTTATGCACACTTGGCATATGGCTTGGATTTGGCCCATACCAAGCTCTTGAACTTGCTGCTCCCAGATCCTGTGGTCTTGTTCCAAAAGGGAATGGATTGTACAATCCATTGTTCCAGTACAGTACTTGGGGTTGGCTGGTTGGCCCCGTTGGTTGGTGTAGTGCATGACCAGGACTGGTTGCACTAGAGTAAGTAAGGCCTACTCCTGGATTCTGAACGTTCTCGTAAGGTTTTGGCTGTGCAAAAGGGTCATGGGAGACCCTTCGTCTCCTTTCCTCCTCTCTATTATAAACCACATTCTGTCTGAGTGGTTTTGTCTGCCTGTCCATGCGGCTGCCATGAAGATGGTAGTTGGCTTCCTCCTGGAGTTTACTCTGCAAGCTGAGCTGATTCTCCTCCTGCTGGTTCTCTAGGGAGGGAGCAAACCAGGACTCCTCCACGGGACCTATCCCAAGCCCCTGGGAACTGTGCAGTGAGCTGGGCTGTTCTGGGGCTGAAAAGAAATAATCAACATTGGAAAGAGTTTCATAAGGCAACAAGAAGTAAAATAAAAGCTGAGCACCATCACACATCTGTACCTCAAAATAAAATACTGAAACCTTTGACAACAAATAAAAAAGCATTTACTTGATGGTCCTCTTCCTACAAGTTATATAGGTAATTCGTAGAAGTCCCTGCATGGTAGTGAAAGAGTGCTGGAGAAATTTTAACAGGCAACAGAAACGTGAGTGTCATGGGAATGACCAAGGAAGAAAGGGACTTGTTTTGTAGCAGAGAAGGTGGCTGTCTCCTTGGTGTGACGCGGGGCTACAAAATGAGAACAGGAGCAGCTTGGTGTTCAGTACTTCCCATGGGTTCTTTTATTCTTTCAAAGCCCTGTAAGAGTAGGAGCAATTATTATCATGATTTGATGGACAGGGTTTATAAGAGGTCAATTTGCCTTAGAACAGATAGCTAATAAGTGGTTTCAATATCCTATACTCTGTTTTTCCTTTTGTTATAATGAAAAAAGTATACCTCCTTGAATCTGAGATCAGCTTCTCTGCTTGTTCTCTGGATCTGTTATCCCTGACCTCAAGGACCTCAAGGACACATGTCCCCTCTTGTTCCTGAGCCGTCACTTTCTCCCTGTCAGGTATGTTAGGCCTCTTACGTTCAGGATGCTTAAGAGATTTTGGTGAATACACTGTTATTCACTATTTCAGATATATGTATGTTCACTCCCAAATATATTATAAATTCCTTTAAGGCAGGGCCTAAATTTTATAGCTTCTTCTGTTTCTTTACAGTCCTGAAGAGTATTTCCTAGAAGAGAGTGAATGCATGAATAAGCAAGGGACTACATTACTTTCAATCACAGGATGTTACCTGAATTTGACCTGCTTGGAGGTATTGCTGTGCAGTCAATCTGGAGAGAATGCATTCTCTTCACAAATGAATTCTGGACTGGGTCTGGATATTCTTTCTGTAATTAACAGCATAAATGTATACTTTAGTATAAATAGCAGAAAATAGTTCCAGAAAGTTCTTATAAGAAAAATGAATCTTTTCAAATGGTAAAGATTTCATGTATCTCTTACAAGGAATAAACCTTTTTTAAAAAATAAACTTTTCCCCCCCAAATATCCAAAACAAGCTTAAAAAGAAGAACACATCTGGAGGATTCAAACTTCCTGATTTCAAAACTTACTACAAGACTACAGTTATCAAAACATTGTGGTATTGGTCTAAGGACAGGAAGAGACCAATGGAAGATAATAGAGAACCCAGAAATAAACCTTTGCATGGCCCACTGATTTTCAACAAGAGTGCCAAGACCATGCAATGGCCGAACACAGGATATCAACACCTAAAAGAATGAAGCTGGACCTTTACCCTTAGTACATACAAAAATTAACTCACATGGACCAAAGACTGAAGCTTAAGTGCTCAAACCATATAAACATTAGAAGAAAACATAGGGGAAAAGATTCATGACATTCAATTTGACAATAATTTCTCAACTAGGACACCAAAAACATAGGCAACAAAATAAAAATAAATAAATGCAACTACATCAAAATTAAAACCTCTGTGCATCAAAGGACACTATCAAGAGAGTGAAAAGATAATCCACAGAATAGGAATAAAAATATTTGCAAATCATATATCTCTGATAAGGGATGAATATGAAGATTATATAAAGAATTTGTACAATTCAACAATAAAACATAAACAACTTAATTCAAAAATGACCAAAGGGCTTGACTAAACATTTCTCTAAAGAAGATATACAAATGGCACATGAAAAAAGTCTCAACATCATTAGTCATCAGGAAAATACTCATCAAAACCACCATGTAAGATATATATGACATTATACTCATTAGAATGGCTATTATTTAAAAAACAAGACAAAACCCAGAGAATGTACAGTGTTTTTGAGAATGTAGAGAAGTTGGAACCTGGTGTATTGCAGGTGGAATATAAAATGGCAGGGCCATTATAGAAAACAATTTGATGGGTCCTCAAAAGTTAAACATAGCATTATCACACAACACAGCAATTCCACTCTTATGTATATACCCAAAACAATTGAAGGGAAGAGCTCAAAAAAAAATTGTACACCAATGTTTCATAGCAGCATTATTCACAGATAAAAGGTAGAAACAACTCAGTATCCATCACAGCTGAATCAATAATCAAACTGTGATAAACACATAAAATGCAGAATTATTCAGCCTTAAAAAGGAATGAAGCTCTAACACAGGCTACAACATGGATGAATCTTGAAAACATTATGCTTGGTGAAATAGGGTAAACACGAAAAGACAAATATTGTCTGATCCCCATGTCTGTAAGGTACCTAGAAGAGGCAAATTCATAGATAGAAACAGGAATTAAATGTTTCCAGGGGCTGGAAACCCTTATTTTATGGGTATTGAGTTTCTGTTTGGGATTTTTAAAAATGTAAATGGATACTAGCAATGTTTGTACAAGATTGTAAGTGTACTTAATGCTACTGAATTGTACACTTAAAAATGGGTACGATGGTGGGTGCCTGGGTGGTGCGGTCCTTTATGCGACTGACTCTTGGTTTCAGTTCAGGTTGTGATCTCCGTGTCAGGAGATTGGGCCCTGTGTCAGCGTCTGTCAGTACCCAGTCGGCTTAAGACTCTCTCCCTCTCCTTCTGCCCTCCCCCATCATGTGCACACACATACTCTCTAAAATAAATAAATCTTTAAAAAAGAAAAGAAAAAAATGGGTAAGATAGCAAGTTTTATGTTACATATATTTTACCGAAATATAAAAAGAGAAAAGTAGGAAAAGAGAGTGCCTGGGTGGCTCAGTTCGGCTCAATCCCAGAGTCCTGGGATTGAGTCCTGCATCGGGCTCCCAGCCCCATGGGAAGTCTACTTCTCCCTCTGACCTTCTCCCCTCTCATGCTCTCTCTCAAATAAATAAAAAAATCTTTTAAAAAAAAGTAGAAAAAGATATTCTGTTTTGCTATAAAAGTGATACTATCCATTATTAAAAATATAGAAAAGATACAGAATTATACTTAAAAAGAACCTACATTTACTGCCTCCACTTCAAGCACAAAATTAACATTTTGGTATTTCCTTTAAGTTTTTTTCTTAGTCATATTTGCATTTTGTTTTAATATGCAGTGTTTCTTTTAGTCTTCAGTTTTAATTTTTTCTAAGTTCCATTGTGATTTCCTTTTTGATCCACAGGGTATTTAAGAATATATTTCTTAACTTCTAATCACATGAGATTTTCTAATTTTAAGACAACTAAAATAAATTCAGAGCATAACTAAATAAATCAGAGCATAACTAAAATAAAATCAGAGAAAATTCTTTATATAACTACAATCCTTTTATTTTTTTAAAGATTTTATTTATTTATTTGACAGACAGAGATCACAAGTAAGCAGAGAGGCAGGCAGAGAGAGAGGAGGAAGCAGGCTCCCTGCTGAGAAGAGAGCCCGATGTGGAGCTCAATCCCAGGACCCTGGGATCATGCCTGAGCTGAAGGCAGAGGCTTTAACCCACTGAGCCACCAAGGCGCCCCATGATTACAATCATTTTAAGTTGGTTGATAATTGTTTTATTTCCCAAGACATGGTCAATTGTAAAGTATGTTCTGTATGTTCCTGAAAAGCCTTTAAAGGTAAGTATTCTGCAGTTATTAAATGCAGCATTTATTTCCATTCAGTCAAATGTTAATCATGTTCTTCAAATTTTTTACATCCTTACTAATTTTTTTTTGTCCATTTGTTCTATCAGTGAGAAATCTGTATTAAAATCTCCGATTTGTCTATTTCTCCTTTGAGTTTTGTCAAGTTTTGCTTTGTATATATTGAAACCATGTTATTAAGGGCATATACATATTTAAAGCTGCTATTATCTTCCTGGTGAATTGAACTTTTTATCATTATGAAATATTCCTGATTACTATGGTAATGCTCAGACACCAAATTCACTGCTTCAGGTTGAGGCAGATACGGCTCCCATCTGTTGCTCAGTGCAAGAGAATCAGGGGGAGGAGCCAAGACTTGTAACTGTGTCGGGTTAGCATTTTCTTTTTCTGTTCTATGACTCAGCATATATAATTCTGTTGGCTTTCTGTCATTCAAGAATTCCTCAAAATGACCGATCCACCTATGGCACTTTTAATTCTATTCCAGTGAATGGGTCCAGTATGCCAACTTGATGATTTCTGTATAAAATTGCTAATTTTGTTACATTGTGGTTATCAAGCTCGCTTACCTCAGATCTTGGTGACAAATTATATTGCTTTGATTTTCAAGACTGATAATATATATGCTTTAATATGTTAATGTATTGAGTACCTGCTAGGTTACCTACCTTTAAACTTGTCACATCGTCTTCTACATTTTCTTCTAATTGATCTACATAAAAAGGCCTAAATTTTTCTTCAAGGCCTGTATTAAAAAAAATAGTACTTTAAACTTCTTAGGTATTTTCTAAAGTAAAATTTAAATATTAGTAATCTATTATCTTTGAATTACTTACCTTAGTCTGTAGACAAAGCAGTAAAATAAACATTTTAATGCCAGATCACCAACTTACATGAAGAGACTAATAAGCCTAATAACTATGGGGACAGAAAGAGGGACAAAATAACACTGGAAACCAGGAGATGCTACCTAATAGCATGTTTCTGCAGCTGTAGCACAAAGTCCTATCTAATATGAATTCCTCTCCAAGTCAACAGGGATGGACGAACTGCTTGTTTCTCTCTCTCTGGAATCAGAATTATTATAGGTCAGAATACTTAGTATAGGGATTTAATATAAAGAGTTAAAAGCTGCTAGCCTTAAAAGAAAAAGGCAACTTCCACTTTCAGAAGATGGAGTAGACACACTTTTCCTCATTTCTCCCTCTTAAGCACAAGAACCCCTAGATATCACACATGAAACAAACATAAAAAAGAGTCTGAAAGGAGGAAAGGAAAGGACAGACCAACTAGGGACTTTGGGATCTGAGGAAAGACATGGTGATGACTTCACCAGGATTTCTTTTTGCCTTTAAGATCCCAGACAAGGAAGCTGGCAACACAACAATAAAAACAAAAACAAAACAAACAAAACAAACAAACAAAAAAAAACACCTAACAAAAGCCTGCTCTTTCTAGCCAAAGGACAAAGCAAGGGGCAGCCTAGGAAGACAGAGGACCTTTAGTCAATAACCATTCTCCAGCCAAACATCACAGAAAACACTGTGGCTCCACTCCTAACCTCACCAGCAAAGGCCAAGTAAGGAGACCTAAGACTTCCAACCTCATGCAACAGTAACAGGATACTCCAATACCCCACCAGGGTGATGTCAGAGAAGGCCAAATGGGAAACCAGGGCTTCCCTTCCTGCCAGATGGTAATGAGCTCCTCCACTCCATGGTATCAATGGACTATGAGGGTAAACTGGACTCACAACCTTAATTTGCAGTAATAAGGCACTCCCACCCATTCTAATGGAGAAGTGTCAGGAGAGGCCCCACAGGGAGTCACAACTTTCACATCCACTGCAGTGTCCGTGGAGACCAGGTGGACTCCCCTGGAACTTCCGCCCTGACCAGTACAAATAAAGAGCCCCTGCCCCGACTCAGGTGTCAACAGGGCTCAGTAGAAAACCTGGACTTCTTTCTACCTGTCAAACAGGGTGGCAGCACCTTCCATTGCCAAAGCTATGTCAGAAATGGCCAGCTAAAAGAGAAAGCTTGAAGAAGATCCAGAATTTCCTAACATTGTAAGAAAATGTACAAGTTTCAAGAGAAAAATCACTCATCACACTAAGAACCAGGAAGATCTAAAACTGAAGGTAAAATGATAATCAATAGATCCCAATACCAAGATACCAGAGATATTAGAATTCACTGTTTAAAACTTTTTAAACAGCCATGATACAAATGCTTCAATAAGCAATTACAAATAAGCTTAAAACAAATGAAAAAAGAGGGACACCTGGGTGGCTCAGTCAGTTAAGTGGTTGCCTTCAGCTCAAGTCATGACCTCAGAACCCTGGGATCAAGTTCCTCATCGGGCTTCCTGCTCAGCAGGGAGCCTGCCTCTCCTTCTGCCCACCATTCCCCTTCTTATGCTCTCTCTCTCTCTCTCTCTCACTCTCTCTGTGTCAAATAAATAATCTTAAAAAAAAAAAAAGAAACAGGAAGTCTCAAGAAAGAAACAAGATATAAAAGAAAGTTCAATGAAATTTTTGAACTGAAAAATATAGTAAACCAAAATGGATGAGTTCAACAGCAGAGTAAAGGGGAAAAGGAAAATCAGTGAGCTGGAAGACAGAATGATAGAAATAAACCAATCTGATCAAGAGAAAGAAAATAAACTGTGGGGAAAAAAGTGTAGAGAGCCTCAGGGACAAGTGAAACTGTAACAAAAGATCTAGCATTTTTGTTATCCCAATCTCAGAAAGGATAAAGACTGAAAAAAGTACTCTAAGAGATAATGGCTGAAAGCTTCTCAAATTTGGGAAGAGACACACATCTACAGATTCAAAAATCAAAACAAAATTCAAACAGAATAAACCCAAACAAATTCATACCAAGACAAATAATAATTAAACCTCTGAAAGATAAAGAAAAAGAATAAGTTGTGAAAGCACCCAGAGAAAATAGGTTAAAAAAAAAAAAAAGATTTCTTAACTAAAACCATGGAGGCCAGAGTATGTGGCACAGTATTTAAGTCCTAAAAGAAAGGAATTGTCAACCCAGAATCCTATACCCAGCAAAAAAATCCTACAGAAATGAAAGTAAGCTCAAGATAGTCTCAAATGAAGAAAAACTGTGATAATTTGTCCCTAGCAGACATACCCTAAAAGAATGGCCAAGGGGAACTTCCTAAACAAGAAGGAAATGATAAAAGAAGATACCTTGGAATATCAGGGAGGAAGAAAGAACACATGTGGTGTAATTAAAAAATAAATATTTGTTCTTTTTCCCAGCTTCAGCTGGTTCACATGGCAGGGAGCTCTCAAAATCCCTGGGGTCCCCTAAGCAGTAAGAATGTCTTTTCTAAGTTAATGAGACAGCTCCTGGCTAGAGGGATGAGGTAAAGAAGCTAGATAGCTTCAGGATGGGAGCTTGTCACCAGAAACACCTAGTTATGATTATAAGATTGGAGCTTTCAGTACCACTCTTTGACCTCCAGGGAGGGGAGAGGAACTAGAGATTTAGTTCAGTCACCAATGACCAGTGATTTAATTCATATTGCCTACCTAGTCAGGCCTCCATGAAAACCTCTAAACAATGGGGTTTGGAGAGCTTCCAGTAGTGACTACATTAAGTGAGTACACTGTTAGGAAAGTGGCATGGGAGCTCTGTGGCACACCAATCCCACCACCAATAACTTAATGAATCTCTTCCTTTGGCTGTTCCTGAGTTGTATCCTTTGTAATACCCCAGTAAATGTAAATAAAATGCTTTCCTGAGTTCTGTGAGTTCTAGTGAATTATTGAACCTTAAGACGGCATTATGAGGACTCTCAAATTTGTATTTGGTGGAGCATAAGTGTGGGTAGCCTAGGCATACTATCTGCACCTGATGTCTAAAGTGGAGACAGTCTTACAGCTGGGCTAAGCCCTTAAACCTGTGTAGTCTAATAATAACTCCAGGTGGTTAATGTCAGAATTTAATTGAATTCTAATTGTGATACATTTAGTGTCAGAAGTAGTACTATAAAAAACACCCCAAAACACAGTAATCAAAAATATGGGTAAATGCAATAGGCTTTCTTTCTCTTTTTGAGTTTTCTAAACTATCACTGACAGTTGAAGCAAAACTGTAACAATGCCAATGTGTTCTAAATATATGTAGAGGAAATATTTAAGGCAATTTTATACAGAGGAAGGTAAAGGAAAATGAAGTAAAGTTTTTATGCTCTGCTCAAACTGGTAAAATAATATCAGTATACTGTGATAAATTATGTACAGATAATGTTAACACCCAGAGTATCCACTGGAAAAACTATCCTCAAATATACTATCGATAAATTCAGGGGAGCCTGGGTGACTCAGTAAGTTAAGTGTTCGACTGTTAATTTCAGCTCAGATCATGATCTCAGGGTTGTAAGATGGAGCCCCGCATTGGGCTCTGTGCTGGGGCATGAAGCCTGCTTAAGATTCTCTCCCTCTGCCCCTTCCCTGTTCATATGTGCATGTTCTCTCTCTCTTAAAAAAAAAAAAAAGAAAGAAAAGCAGAAAAAAACACTATTGATAAATTCAAATGGGATTCTAAAAATGATCAAGAATGCACAGGAAGGCAACAAAATGAAAACAGAAATGAGACACACAAAGAACAAATAAAAAGCAAAATAAAATGGCAAATGTGAGCTCTAACATATCAAAATTACGCTAAATTAATATGGTCTAAAAACACCAATCAAAAGACAGACATTGGCAGAACAGGTTAAGGAAACGTGACTCAAGTACATGCTGTCACAAGAAACTCACTTCACATATGATTATAGACAATTTAAAGTAAAAAGATGGGGAAAGATAAATAAATATTAATAAGAGGAAAGAAGGGTGTCTGTATTAATATCCAACAAATCAGACTTCAGAGCAAAGATGACTGCTGGAGACAAAAGGGACATTTATATAATGATAAAAGGGTCACTCCATCAAAACATAGCAATCCTAAATATATATGCACCAAACAACAGAGATGGCAAAACCTATAAAACAAAAGATAAAACTAAAAGCATAAATAGGCAAATTCGCAATATTAGTTGTAGACTTGAATATCTCTCAGTAATTCAAAGAACTAGACAGAAAATCAGCCAAGACATAAAAGAATTAAACAACATCATCAATAGGATCTAATCTAGATTTACAGGACACTCTACCCAATGACAGCAGAATAATCTATTCCTTTCAAGTGTCCACATAACATATCCCAAGATACACCATATCCTGGGCCAAAAAATAAACCTCAATAAATTTGAGAGATGTTAAACACACAGAACATGTTCTCTGACTAAAATAAAATCAAGCCAGAAATCAGTAACAGAAAGATAACAAGAATACAACCAAACTCTTGAAAACTAAACAACATACTTCTAAAGAATACATAGATCTGAGGGAAATCTCAAGGAAAAATTAAAAATGCATTTTTAATTTTTGTGGGACATAACTATAGCAGTGCTGAGAAGGAAATTTATGGCATTACACACACATTAGAAAAGAGAAAAGGTCTCAAATCCAAATCGGTAATCTAAGTTCCAACCTTAAGAACCTAGAAAAAGAGGAACAAAACAAACAAAAAGTAGAAGAAAGGAAATGATAAAGAACAGGAATCTATGAAATGGAAAACAAAAACAATAGGGGAAATCAATGAAACAAAAAGCTGGTTATTTGAAAAGATCAACAGGAAGACTAACAAAGGAAAACAGAAGACATACATAACCAGT